GAAAGGCGTGGCGAGGGAGATTGCCGGGAGCCTTGGAGGGAGGGTGCGAGCATGGGGTTGAGGGTACGAAGTGTCGAGAGCGTCGGGCGTCTAGGGAGGGGGTCTTTGGACAGGATACAAAGTCCCATTCGGACCCACAACTATTATATATCCCATTTGTTTTGATCCCGGAATCCCCACGAATGTTGAATTCAAATGGGATGGGATACATAACAAAAAGTGTTCGCAACATGACTCCCACACTCTGAATAGCTTAGTGGTAGGGAATACTATGTTTTTTGGTGTCCGCTGTGATTTTTTTGAGGTCTGCTTTCTGAATTGATTTAGTTGACCATTGTTCAGCTATGGCTGCCGTTTAAGATCCTTGCTTAACCTCTTCTGAGGTTTGCTTGTTTCCTGGAACTCTGACCGGAAAACCTTCTCACAAGCCCTAAAACTCATGGAAATCATTGCTCCAAAAAAATTTCAAGGAGGTAGTTAACAAGCCCGGGATAAGTGAATTGCGTGAATTGTTTGGAGGGTAGGATTAATGCGCCAACTTGGAGCCCTGGCAAATTATCTAAGCTTAGTTCTCTACTGTTCTGCTATTGCTGCCCTTTAAGCTTGACTTGACCTTTTCTGAGGCTTTGTTTCCTGGAACTCTGATCGGAAGACCTTTCTCAACCTTTCTCAATGATTGAAACTCTTTGAAATCATTGCACCATTCAATTCTTCCAATGGATAGTACACAAGCACAGGGGATGTGAATTGTATGACATTGCTTGGGAGGTGGGATTCATGTGCCAACTTGGAGCCCTGGGAAGAATGTTTGAACTTCCTTTTCTATTCCACTGCTTTCTGCTACTGCTCCCCTTTCCAGATCCTTGCTTCACCTCTTCTGAGGTTTGCTGACGCTGCTGCTGTTACTGCTACTGCTACTGCTGTTACTACTACTGCTACTACCACTACCACTGCTACTACTCAAACTCAAACTCAATCACAGCTAGTTTTGGTGGGGTTGACTCCGTTCACTCTCCCTCGATTGTTTGCTAGGAAGGGAGGGGCATCCGGTTTACTAATTGAAGATGGAACATTACTAGGCCATCATTGATCTCAACCAACTAGTACAAGGCCATCTATGATCGAAAGTTTCTTGAGAACACCCTGTCGATTTGTCACTTCGCCGCTCCGGTTTCACCGGAAGCTGAATGCCGCCATCCGCACCGAGCACGAAACCGGCAGAGCGGTCCGCTCGGACGGGGCGCTTGGACCTGGAGGATAATCTCTACTATCTGCTACGCTGCTGCTCAATCTGCTCTGGATATGCTTGTTCTGGTGATCCTGGGTGTGTTTTTGAATGTGACTGTGATGTTTTTTGTGCATTTTCCTCTTCGC